TTGGTAAATTTGATAACAATGCTACATTTCGTGCACAACTTTGTGCCTGACTCAAGCATAGAGTTATCCTTCATTTTTACCAGTGAAGGGTAGTGGCTGCATCGCAACTCAGTAGCAGGTGAGGGTTGAAAAGTTTTTTCTGTCTGTCTGTCTTCATGGCTATGATGAAGACTGCTCATGCTCTTTTCATATTCAATATGGAAGGCATGTGATAGCACTGAGAAAAAAGTCGGTGGTGAGGTGTGGTAAATTTCATATCAATGCCACATTTTATGCACAACTTTGTGCTTGACTCAAGCATAGAGCTATCCTTCATTTTTACCAGTGAAGGGTAGTGGCTGCATCGCAACTCAGTAGCAGGTGAGGGTTGAAAAGTTTTTTCTGTCTGTCTGTCTTCATGGCTATGATGAAGACTGCTCATGCTCTTTTCATATTTAATATGGAAGGCATGTGATAGCACTGAGAAAAAAGTCGGTGGTGAGGTGTGGTAAATTTCATATCAATGCCACATTTTAACTTTGTGCTTGACTCAAGCATAGAGCTATCCTTCATTTTTACCAGTGAAGGGTAGTGGCTGCATTGTAACTTAGTGGCAGGTGCACTGCAATCATAACAAGGACTTCAGATGTAGTGTCCAGCCACAGAAGAGCCGCCTTCAACACCACCATTGTGTGTCATCTGTACATAACAGCCTATGTATCGTGGTAGTCCCTATGAAGATACGTTGCTGTGTCAGATGATCACTCAATTGACATCATCATCATCACCAGCGCAGTTGGACCTCAGCAGACCTTAAGCGTTTGAGTACTGTGAAAATTTTGGCTGCCACCATGAAACATGTTGGACACTGATGTCATAAATAATAAACATCAAGTCTTGCAAAATCAGGGCATTTCTTATTTTATTCAACATTTTCATCATTATATTACAACACCCAGAACACTAGACAGTAAAATAATAATAATAGGACAAGTTTTTTTCAACAAAAATATAAACATTAATGTTTTAAAAACAGTCACAGCCAACAATGGAGGCTCAAAGAATCCTAACTTAAAATTCCTAAATTAAGATAAAATATAATAATAAGACAAGTTTTTTCAACAAAAAATGTAAACATTAATGTACCAAAACAGTCACAGCCAACATTGGCAGGCTCAAAGAATCCTAACTTAGAATTCCTAAATTAATATAAAATATCACAACCAGTTTCTGTGATGTTTCAAAATAATCATACCTCACAAACAAACAACAAATACAAATAGGACTGGTTACTAATTGAAAAACAGGAACAACATTTAATAGTAGTAAAAAGCACAACCCCTGTCATCAGTCTGAAAATATGTACACTTCATATTCAAATACCTAATAAAAAAAATGCTACTAGTTACCAAGTAAAAAAGAGAGCAACACATAATACTATAAACAATCACAACCACTGTCATCAGTCACAAAATATACAATTAAAAATCACAACCACTTCACATTTTAGTCAAAGCTACGGTAGGTTCAGCAAACGATGCAGAGCCTTTTTTGGACTGGTTTTTTTTAGGGTGTTAATCTTCACTACTCGTACACCTGGAGGAACTTGTACCGTACTAAGCAAGACTTTCTTTGAAGGCAATTTCACACTTGCACTTGATTCACATTTCTTTGGTGACTTATTGTGGCTCACATTCACAGGAGCAGAGGACTTTCTTTTCACACCCTTTCCTGAACCATTATATTTGCTGGTCAGATACCTGTACGCCATACTTTTGCTGGACAGCTGAATACCGGCAGAGGGTTTATTTTCTGTTTGAGAAATGACCTCAGCAAACTGTTTCAGTCGCATTAAAACAAAGGCTTTCACAATTTTGAACTTTATGTCATGGCATGTAGGAATGTTAAACTTTGCTAGATTTGGATAAATGAATTCTTCCAGTAACTGCTGAAGAGAGAACTTCTTTGATTTAAAAGAAGAGCGCCACCTTTGTAAATTGTAGTTTGTATGTCTCAAAATTTGAAACAATTCATCTGAAATCTCAAAGAGAGCATTTTCCACATAGTTTGTCAACAGTAAATAAGAAGCATTGGGGTGGTGACCCTCACCTCTGTACATGAGCGACTCCACACATCCCCTACATTTCAGCATCCCTCGCTTCACAAGACTGTTAATAGTATAACCACACATCCTGTACAAAATGTCATCCTCAAACTCCTCAAAAGCATACGCAGCCCTTGGCGCTTCTCCCCAGGCACTCAGATGTAATTTATCAAATTTTTCAGTCTGAAAAATTTCTTGCACATCAAGAAGATCATCCAGACCAATAATGTATTCATCATCAGAGTGGGAGTAGTTGCTTTTGATAACCTTTTGGTTAAATTGGGAACACACAACTTGCTTCAACCTGTACTTGAATTCAACAGCTGAAGGTGTAGGCCGTTGTAACCTTATGCAAGAAAATAAATTTTCCACTTTATCTTGGGAAAACCTGCCTAAACATACAAATTGATATTTCTTCTCAGTCAATAAGTATTCCTGAATTTCAAGCAAAGATTCAGTTGCCATGACTAAATGAGTTTGACAAGGTTTCCATCTCTCTTGAATATTGATTCCTTTGAAGAGCTCAATTACAAGTCGTAGGTGCTCAAGGGCATTTCGATATGCCTTCTCATTTCTCTTCGATAAGGCCAAAGAAACATGGCGAGAGGACACCAACGTGAACCAATGGTTCACCACAGAGACAAACCAGGCTGTTGTTTTTGCCTCTTTGGCTGCCATGCCTCTATCAGCCAGGTAGTGCAGTGCTGACCCCACCTTCTTGTCCAGAACATGGGAGGCCATCACTGCACTCATCTTGGAGAAATGAGTCGGCTTCAGATCCTTAACACTAAGGCGGGGTACAAATTTTAGATCCATGTCCCTCTGCAAATCTTCAAGCCACTCTATGTCCTGCAAAGATACAATGTTAGATGGGAGATTGAACCTTTGAACAAGCAAATCAGGTATAGTAAGGGATTTGTTTTTAAGAAGCATTTCTTTGATGGCTTTAAAAACATGTACCACATCTGGTATGATATACAACTTTTTGGAAGGATTAACAGGGTTGGGAATACAATATTTCATTTGATCCTTAGAGAAATCAAACCCAAGAGAATTGGCAACATCACGATTACCCATGTCACACACAATACCTAAGACATTGAGTGACATATTTTCGGCTTCCTTCAACAGCTCAAGAATGACATCTTTAACCTGAATTGCACAACCATGGCCAGGTACATAATGATAGGCACTAACCAATTTCCATTTTTTTCTAACACCGCCAAACATAAAAACCAGTCCTTTTGCTGCCACTTTGTCCTCTGTCCCCTTCAGTGTACTGTAACCAACGTAATTCTTAGTCCCTATGTCCATTAATATTTTTGCCTTGATGGCCATTTCGTCAAAAACTAAAACCACATCCTTGTCACTTTCACATTCGAACTGGTCCAAGTTTGGCTTGAACGCAGCCAGAATGTGATGCAGCACTCCAGGTTCGAATTCTACCCCCTGGAGTACTCTTTGAATAGACCGTCGTGAGGGCAGTTTCATGTCCGTCCGTATTTGTCCATAGCCTGTGTTGCTGGAAGCAAGTTTATACTGCATCCCTTTTTGCAAGGATGCAGCATCCCACTTCCACCAACGTCTTGTGTCAGTTGTGTCCTCCAGTTTAGTCTGTGAGTGTTTGCTAAAAGTCGTTTCAACTCTTTGTCTGTCTCTCCATGCTGCCTGCAGTAATTGCTCATTGAAATTTTGTCTGTTTTCCAATGATGTCAGTACCTTGCGTAGTCTGTCATTGTCCGATTGAAGTGCTGCGACGTCAGGTGGAGCGGCTGCAATTGGTGCACTGATATTCACTTGAAGGGAGGCATTTACATCTTGTTTGTTGTGGAGAGCAGCAAAAAGTTTCTCGGATTCTGGGGTCTTGGCCGAAACAATGGGCGGCACAGCCGAACTTACTCCGAGGGGCGCTACAAGGTCACTCACATCCCTCGGAGCAAGTGGGATGAACCAAGCCCGGTTTCCCCATTCGTTTGCTGCAGGTGCTGGTCTTTTGGATGGATGTTGACAGTACGGATGGTCGGAATTAGAGAAAAGGATATCCTTGATGATTTCCTTGGGGTTGGTTTTTAGCGCCTTTTGTGGGAACTGAGATGGTACCGCGTCCTTCTTTAGAACCCCATACTTCACCCAATCCGATGGGAGGAAATGGACCTAAGAAAAGATGAAGATTGCAGATTTAGGATAAGCGCAAACATGTAAATTACTACATTGTTTAAGCACCACTTACATTACAGATATTGTGGTGCTTGTTTTTGGACCAATCTGGAGCGAATACGCCCAGAGCACTCTTCCACTGTGCTCGTCTAATATCATCTTTGGGAAACTGAAGTATTACAAAACCACCTCTGTGGTGGTTTTTACAGTTGGTGACACAGCAGGCGGGCATTTTAGTTCAGTCAAAAGGCTTCTGAAAAAGAAAATAAGAAAATTCTTTTGATCCAAAGTAACTCTGGAACACCAAAGGGTAAACAATGCCTAAAATGAAACTAACCTCTACTTGTGCGTACGGGCATTCTGTGATGTACGAATTTCAAAGGTTCAAAAGGTCCTGAAATATAAAGAAAAAGATAAATTTCGACGGAAAAGTATATAATTGAAACACAAAGTAACTTAGCTTAGTGAATTACCTACATCTCCCCAGAACGCCGGCCGGCAGATAACCCCCTCAACAGTTTCAAGACACAAACAACCCACGCCACCCCACGCCAACCTCAACTACGTCCAAAACTTGATGCGCGGGATCTTCGCCAGCCCTACACGTCCGACGTGTGGCTCGGCTCGCCACGGCTCGAGGATCGGTTGGGTTGGAGCCAATCAGAAGGCGTATAGGTCACGTGACATTGGCACCTCTCTTTCAAAATAGAGGCTCTCTAGTCCGTGCGAGGTATTCCCCCCGTGCCTCGCTGGCCCGGCAAGCCGACACCGGCGGCGACGTCTGCAGCGTCGTCGGCTCCCTCCACATCCGCTCCGCACACAGTGTGATCTTGGCTGTTCGGAGCGACAGACGTGCGCTTCGCCCCGCTCTCTCCGTCGCAGGCCTCAGCGTAGTGAGGTGCCTCTTGACCGACCGACCAGTGCCCTCGTCTCGCAGTAATCGAGCCCCGGTAAGTTGATGATGGAAAGCAGCGCCACGCTCGAGTCGAGGCCACGCTTTCCATTAGAAAGATTCTTTTTCGTGGTCCCTGAGAGGTATCGTCTTCTACATCTTCGTGCGCAAAGCACATTCGCGCTTGGTGCAGCCAGTGTGTTCACGCCTGGAGGTAGGCAAACTGTGGTACATTTCCCCCAAAGCGTGGTCGTAAGTTACTGATAATTTTGTTGTAACTTACAAACACCAAAACCATTGTACTTCGGACAAAAACATCCGTATTACGAACGAAATTCAATCCGTTGTACGTACACACTAAACTTACGGATACATCTATCTGTGTTACGGACATTTTTGTGCAATCTTTATGGACGGATTTTGCGTCATACGGATGAATTCATCGCAGATTCCTTGATGGTTAGTCCACCCCGAGCGAGACTAGGCGACAAAGGTGCCCCGAAGCTGGGCGACATTTGGCACCCGAAAAAGTGGGGCCGGCGTCGAAGGCGCCCAGTTTCTGGGCACTCCAACTTTAGAGTGTAGTTACGCCTAGAGTCACATAAAAACAAATGTGCCATAAGCAGCGAAGCCAAATGTTGCTCAAATGGGATAAGAAAATTTTGTTCCGACAAACGAACGGACAAAACCAGACAAAACTTTTTAACTCCTCGCGAGTAACTGGTTGTTAGCGGGGAGCTCATTTATTTAATACGTGCAACGGCTTCCCATGACCCCTTCCGATTTTGACCTGATATTTGGTTAAAATCGGAAGGGGTCATGGGAAGGCGTTGCACGTATTAAAATAACAGGAAAAGTAGCGACATATATCGGCAACTTTGGCCCGTCCCGTTGAGAAATGTGCGAATTTCGCCTATGTTTAGCCCTGACGGGATTTGAACCTGAGTCTGGGGTCAAAATAAATGTTATTTTCGTCATCAGCACCCTCAAAAACATCAGAAACAATGCAAAAACTCGAATAAAAAGAATGTTTAAAATAAGTCATAATATATGCCCGTCCCTGCGTCATGTTTTTTACAAAAAATACACGGGACGGGCCAAAAATTGGCTCGGGATGAACACCGCCAAGGCTTTTAATTCTGATTTGTTATTCAGGCTAAGTTAGATAGGCACGGAAAGATTCGAACGACGCCACGGCTTGTTGTCATTTTGCAATGTTTTCCGTTTGTCGTCCGGGCCAGTCCGGGCTGCGTTGACTTTAGTGAAGGGACCCCGGAGTGCCTTTGGACGGCTCTCCGCGTGGCAGGGCGTGCTTCACGCATTTCAATACCCCTTATCGCATAGTTTAAGTGACCAAGTAACGACAAGATATGATAGTGTGGGAGTGCAAGTGATGTGAGTGAAGGTGCGCTGGACGCCAGAAGCCTCAGTCCGCGAGTGCGGAGCGGGAGATAAAGGTGGAGCGGGGGGTAGGGCACTGGGTGACAACTCCCCTTTTCTGACCAAGTTGGAGTGGGGTGCTGTGTGTTACGTTACTGTTTTCATGTTACTGACTTTCATATTTTGAGTTTTTTTTTCAGATTTTAACCCAACATGGCGATGAAGGGCTTGCTTGATAAGCTCAACAAGATTCAAGACTTGTTCTCAACACTTCGATATGAGCCAATTGAGTTGCCGAAAATCGTGGTGGTTGGCACCCAGGTACGTGTACCAAAACTTGTAAATCTGCACTCTGAATATTTTACAAACTATAAGGAAAGTAGCTTCATGAAGTATTTTGAGCATTCATAAGATTCGAACGAAAAAAAAGTTAGTTATGTACGAACTATGTCTTCGTACAACACTAAACTAGTTTTTCGTATGCTCAAAATACTTCGTTAGGTTTTGAGCGTGTGCCTTGGGCTATCTTCGTACACGTTTTGTCCGGATACTTTGTAAACCAACGAAGTTTGTGAACTTACAAATTTTGCACCCTAAAGGGTGCAAATTCGCACAGTTTGTCTGATTCCGCGTCAATTTCACACAGGTGTCGCACACCAAATGTCATGGGACTTTTTCGTCCCATGAATGATGCAATTTTAAGCACGTCCGACTGTAGTACAATGATATGCGTCTGCCAGGCGGGACAAAGTGTCTAATGGAAATACCATTTGCACTAAATTTGTCGCCAAGGAGACAGCAAAACTCAGGATGTGATTCAAACTGTATTATCCATGGCTAAAAAAAGTCCCATGACGTTTAGTGTGTATGCGATTTGTAAAAATCGTGAGACAATTTTTTTCAAATAGTGGGGTCTGAATTTATCTTGTGTAAAATTTTGTTCGGTGGGAAATGAACACACTTAATGTTCAGGTAGAGTTTTTCTGCGTGGAACTTGCACGATTTTTGCTTACGTGGAATATGCATAATATAAGGCGTAAAGATGCTTACGCACTTATGCAAATTCGGGCAATTTTATAGACAACGGCAAACAAGTTTCAAATCATGCATAACCACGTAAAAAAAATTACATAAACATTTAGCGTGAATGAATGCGACTTCACGTCCATTAAACTGCTGTTTCCTTCTTTTGATTCAGAGTGCCGGCAAGAGCTCCGTCCTGGAGTCCTTGGTGAGGAGGTCCTTCCTGCCGCGCGGCACGGGCATCGTCACCCGCTGTCCGCTTGTGCTTCAACTCAACCACTGCCCCTTGGGTGACGCACGGCGAAAGGGTAGGACAATCAGACGAGAAATTTTTCGGGCGCGTGGCGTCCGTGAAGGTGGCTATATTTCTCAAGATAAAATTATCTTGTAAAATATATTGACGTCATATTATTGAGGGTGAGGGATGGTAGGGGTACAGCTAGACACCCCTTGAGAGAAGGAAAGACTGCGCGCCGGATAGGCTGCCTACCTGCACGGGGCGTCTCAGCCGATTAGCGCCCACATCTTCAGTAAAATTGAGAAAATCTGGTCTTTAGAGGTCAAAACCACCTAACTTCGTCTATACACCAATCGAAAGCTTACGAAATTTCGAGTAAATGATTACACATTTGACACGTTAAGATGCCACATTTTACTCATTTTCTCAATTAGAAAAACTGTCGTTCAAATTTTAAGTTTTAGTGGCATTTTGGCGAAGTTTGGCGTCCACTCACCCGACCAGGCTCATGGGTACCGTTGGATTGGTCTCAAAATTCCCTTTCGAATGGCGTAAGCGGCATGCGTGTAAACTTGAAACGCTGAGCTTTTAAGCTAAAAAAATGTGTATTTTGAGTAGCTCAAAATTTGAGTGCAGAGTTGTTTATTGCGGCCTACAGCTCCTGAGGGAGGGCCATGCCCAAAATTTTTGATCACAGATATGGAAAGCTCATTGAAAGTACTACAATTTAACGTGTTCGGCAGATTGGGACGTGCAGATTTAGATTTTTTACTAGGATAGACAGGCTTGTGAAATATACCTTCATTTTCATGCTTTCCACAATTTACTCCACTGGTCATCAAGCTAGACCAAATCCAAGAGCAGATTCGGATTCCTCGTCGCATTTTACGTCAGAATCACTTGCATGCACCGCATGCAAATCCGATATCAAATTGTCATTTTGAGCCATTTTAAAGCAATTGCTCTTTTTAAAAAGTAAAAATTTAAAATGCTAATTCTGACGAAACCACTTGAGACATCGACCTAACATATGGACACGTTCGTGCTAAATATGGTCGAAATCGTCAAATTTCACCCAGATCCAACTCGTATGACCCCAATACACGTTGAGAATTATATTTTGTCAATACTATGTCTATTTTCGTTAGTCAAAAATTTGGTGCATCCTGCGAAATTTTTGGTTTTTAGGTATCGAGCACAAGGAATGGGGTACGTTCCTGCACTCTGGAGATCGCATTTTCAAGCTGGACGAGGTTCGTGACGAAATCGATGCTCAAACGACTCGCAATGCGGGCTCCAACAAAGGCATCGTCACGACTCCCATCACCCTGAAGGTGTACTCGCCCGACGTGGTCAACCTGACGCTCGTCGACCTACCCGGCATAACCAAGGTGAAGTCATGACACTGCTTATCCATAAGTGTGGACCAAGTCCACGCTTTCTTGCACAGTCTACAAACTGAAGTGAGTACAACACCAGGTTGAAGCATGCCTACATGCACACTCCACGCTGAAGCATGCTTGTCAAGTACACGCCACGCTGGAGCATGCTTGCCAAGTAATGCCAGGTGTTGCATTCACTCTCAGACTCGTGGTATCACTGTGGCAAAAGACTACAGAGAAAGCTTAATAGCAGATGATATTGCCATGATTCTCCGTAGCCTTTTATCAATATTCTCCGTGCGACTTACAGAATTCTCCGCATGCCCACGGAGAAGACTGTAACCCCTACAGAGAACATTGACGAGAAAGACTACAGAAAACATTAAGTTTACAAGGAAGGTTACGGTAAATGTTAGGTTCTGGGTACGAGGAATAGTCCCAAGTTGTTTACAGATTTCTCCGTAAGGTTTTGCCTCAGTGCACTAGTATTTATTTAAAAACGTGCTAACGATTGTGTGCATCCATACGTCAGCGGCCGTCGGGCATAAGGACGTAAGTCACATGGGAAACCCATTGAAAATAGGTTGTTCTGTCCGATGACCACTCACGTGTCTTGACGTTTTTATTTGTTTTAAAAACATTATTATCAATTTCGCTAGTCAGTTTTCTCAAATCTCACTGAGAATGAAAGAGTCACCACCATCGCCCTTTCATTGGGTAACGCACGCACCGTTGCCCAAATTTGGGTGACGAGCCTGCGGTGACCAAATTTTTGGGCAGTCATAAAATCGCCGCCCAAATTTGGGTAACGTCGTCGGCGACGCCGCAAGGTCCCCGATGACGCTCTTCCGGGGCCACCGCGATGACCCAATGTGGCGTTGAGGCCTCCGGTCATCGTGGTGGCCCCGGAAGGACGTCATCGGGGACCTCACGGCGTCGCGCGGCGTCGTCGACGGACGGCGTTACCCAAATTTGGGCGACCAAACGCCTGTTACCAAATTTCGGGTGATGAATTTTTCGTCACCAAAATTTGGGCAACGAAGTTGCATCACCCATTTAAAGAGTGACGGTGGTGACCAATTCATTCTCAGTGAGCTGTTAAGCTTTAAAACGAAATTTTATTAATGCACAGAAACTTGAATGGATATTGATAAAAAGTTGATTGAGGGATGAGAGTGTACATACCAGTACACTGTTGCAAAACGTAGGGGACTTCAGCCATAGTATACTCGCGCAGGCATGCTTCAACTCGAAGAACGTTATTTGCCCTCTCGAGTTTGTAGAGAAGACCAGTTTTGGTTCACGCTTCTCGGTCTGGGCGGTGTCAGTATCCTGCACAGTCCGTGACACTCAAGGAAGCCAGGACAAAAGTCACCAAACTGTGATCCACGCAAGGAAGCGTAGACTTGGTCCACAGTTGGATTAGCAGCTGCATAATGTTATCACTTCAATCACTCAATTAAATAACTTTCAAACTAACTGTTTGGGGTCACTCGAGAAATTTACGGAGTAAGCCCATGGCCTGTACTTAATCAATGGCTTTATTCGAAACCTTAAAACCAATTTCCTTAAAAAAGTGGGAGGTAAAAAAAATGCTGTTGTTTTTTATGGCTGCAAGATGAAGTTGCCCGGAACAAATAACCAAATTTCTATTTCTGGTAAAAAAAGCCTATCGTCCTTTTTGTTTTTGCATTAATTATGTTGTTTTCTTTCAGGTGGCGATTGGAGATCAGCCTGAGGATATCGAAGAACAGATACAAGAGCTGATTATGGACTATATCGAGAATCCTTTGACTATCATCTTGGCTGTAGTGACTGCTAATACAGACATGGCGACCAACGAGAGTCTGAAGCTGGCCAAAAGTGTCGATCCAGAGGGAGAACGCACGCTTGCAGTCTTAACCAAAGTTGACCTCATGGACGAAGGTAAACCTTCGGGCAAACACGATTTCATTATTTCGTGTTGAGTAGGATTCTTCCATCATACACTACCAAGTCCACGCAAGGTAGCGTGGACCATGACGACGATGGTCCACGCTAGGAAACGTTTACCACGTATGGTCCGCGCAAGGAAACGTGGGCCACGCAAGGTCCGCGCATGGAAACGTGGACTAAGCTGCGGTCCACGCTTTACAGCGTTGAATTCCTCACAGGCCAGCCGCACTTCCAAGTGTGGACCACAGCTTGGCCTGCGTTGAGCGGACCTTACGTGGTCCACGTTTCCTAGCGTGGACCATCTTGGTCCACGGCACCTTGCGTGGACTTGGTTCACTCTTGGATTAGCAGTGTACACATTCTGTGACATGGACACCCTTTTTCCAGAAAAGTACACTATCATGCCAAGAACGTGACATCACGCTTAACGAGCGCGACAAAATGCCATGCTCCTTTGAGCATTGAGTCACACCCATTTTAATAAGAATAAGATAATTTGTGGCTTATTCACATCTCAACATACGTGTGACGCAATGCATAAAGGAGCGTGACATTTTGCCTTGCTCGTTTCAACGAACGTGATGTTACATTCCTAAAAGAATGAGAGTGAATGAAGGATCTGATTCAGGACTACGAAGGAAATGTATTGTAGGGTTTATTCGCAATTGAAAGCAAATTTTCGTACTACGAAGTAACATATATTGTGGCGAATGACCTTGCTTCACTAAGACTTGAACATTGTGATTTTACATTATCCCTTCTTTTCTACGAATTACGAAGCGATCCTTCTCAAACGATTTGGTGTGCTCCGAGTTTATCCATATTCTGGTCAAATGTTGACTTGAATGAAATTCACCACTGGTGAATCACCAGCCAAACAAGTGCTACTCAGTTTTTCACCGATGAACAGAAAGTGTTTGAATGTAAGATCCACCCTGGGAGCCGAACCGTATCACGCATCTTTTACTGACCTGGTTGATGTCTGTTTCAAGGGACTGATGCAAGAGATATGTTGAAAGGACTGGTTATACCGGTGAAACTTGGCATTGTTGGAGTGATCAACAGATCACAGAAGGACATCAATGATAATAAGGTAAAAATTGTATGGTGGATAGCGTTCTCGCGTATGAAAAATGTGACTTTGCATTAATTAAAAGGTGCTTTTGAATGTTAAAGACAATGGAAGATGCTTTTAAATACGAGCAAGAGTACTTTCAAAAGAAATACAAGGAAATTGCATCAAGGACGGGATCTCTTTACCTTGCCAAAAAATTGAGCATGTTGCTTTCAGACCATATCAACAAGAACCTTCCTGACGTTGAGGTAAGAGGTCACCAATATTAATTAAGTTACTCAATACTTTTAAAAATTACTGCGTGTTAAGCACGACATTTTCATAGCACTCGCGGCGTAACGATGGAATTGAGTACAAAGGGTAATACACTTTTTAGATACATTGCCAACTATTTCAGTGAGCAGAGCGCTGCAACCGAACATTCAGTACAGAACTTAGTAGTAATAAAGTTGGTCGGCATACAGGACATGAGCCCCGTCCCGTTTGAGCCCCGATGGTCTGAGCCCCGCCCAGAGCCCCAACCTGAGCCCGGGTTGAGCCTCGACCCAAGCCCCAATTTTCAGAGCCCGGATTAAGCCCCGACCTGAGCCCCGTTTCAGCCCCATTTGAGCCCCGCGACCTAAAATCACGCATTTTTCCATGATTTATTGCCACGGGGCTCAAGTGGGTCTCAAATGGGGCTGAAACGGGGATGAGGTCAGGGCTCAATCTGGGCTCTGAAAATTGGGGCTTGGATCGGGGCTCAAGTCGGGGCTCAACCCGGGCTCAGGTTGGGGCTCAGGTCGGGGCTCAGACCATCGGGGCTCAAACGGGACGGGGCTCATGTCCTGTATGCCAGTTGGTCGGCGTATTTTAGAGATGAAATGGCCGTACAATTTATTTTTGTTTGTTTTAAGGGGGGACCCTGGTGAAAAAAACGCCAAAATTCCAAAAAATAGTATTTTCAAAGTTCATAGACAAAAATGTGCATAGAAGGTTTCAAATTCAACAGGTTGAACACCTTTTAGCTAAGTGGGTACTTTCTTTATCATTTGGAAGGAAATAACATTGAGATCAGTTGTCGTTGGCTTCTACGCTCAACTTCACAGCTTTGCTCAGTCGACAAAAAATTTTGTCGTAGAAAGACTTCCTGCGTTCCTGGTTGACACCTACATGGGTCGTCTTGCATGGACTCTATTCATTGATGACTTGTCGACAAATTTTAGTGACGGAATCTTGATATCAGCCTTACTTTTTTTTAAACACACCTAAAAGTTTGAAAAAAAGGAAAAAAAATCACTTTTTTTAAATGTTGAAATTTGAAAACTCATATCTCAGGACAGCAGTTGAATTTGAAAATTCCGTCACTAAAATCTCTTCTATACATCTTTAAGATAACCCAAAAAAAATTTCAAGACTTTCCGTCCCAATGAAAGACGCAGGAAGATTTTTCCCCAACGCTCCAAAAAACACTAAAAAGCCACTTTTCTCAGAGACCGTTCAACATTTTGGATTGAATTTTGTTTTGGGAACTCACCATAATGAACCTCATAATTCAGCAAAGTTTCAACTTTCTGGGATTATTTTGAAGCCTACTTGAAAGTTTCACCAGGGTCCCCCTTAAAAGAGGCGACTAGCATCGTCTTCAAGAGCACGGTAGCGGAGTTTCTTATGTTTGACACACTCATTGCAGCGTGTCGCGTCACAACCTGCACTTCTATCTTTCGTTTTCATTAAGGATGATATAATCGCTGTTCCTCGCCAAACCTTTGACGCGGAGTCAGATGGGGCCGCAGCAGTTCACAAGTTTTCCGAGCTTTTAGCTTTAAATATAGTTTGGCTACTTTGTTTCAGAATAAAATCCGCAAAGAAATGGAAGATTGCTCGAAGATTCTAGATGAGTGTGGCGAATCTATAACAGACAAGAGGGCTACTCTGATGAACGTGGTGAACAAGTTTAGTCAAGCTTTCTGTTCGCTCTGTGACAAAGGATCGCAAAACCTTCAATCCATGAAACTGTAAGTATATCGAGCCGTCGCAATAAGGTATTTTAAGGAGGTTTTATTTTCGAATGCATTGAGCATTGCATTCCAGGAAGCAAAGTTTTGAGGAAACGACTACGCGAGGGGGAAAACACTCGCGTAATAGTCGGGTCACTCTGTCCGTAATAGCACGCGTAATAGTGTGCGTAATAGTAGCGTAATAGCCGAAATTCTCCAAATTTGATCTATTTTAAGGGTTTTTTGGTCTGTTTTCAGCTAAATCCCTATATTTTGAGGCGTAATAGAGCGTTATAGACGTAATAGTCGGGTCGCAGGTTTAAAGAGTGATTTCCCCCTCGCGACTACGTAAACCACTTGGTACACTGGTAAAACTAAAGCGTAGTATAACCCTCTGTTTTCGAGCGTAATCAGTTTACGCTTGAAATCAAGCGTAACAGGCTCTTCCCCCAAGATTCCCCCCATACAAATCAGGGGGTGGCAACGGCCTAGGGAGAGCGCGAAGCGATGCTCGCGCCGTCAGTGCAGAGGCAGGGGGCGGCAACGGCCTAGGAAGCGGGTGAAGCCATGCGCGAGTGAGGTGCAGGGGTTACACCCTCAGACTCTTACGATGAAAGGGCCATTGTAACGTACGTTTAAATGAGAACATACGTACTACAATAACATTCATGCGTAATACGATGAAATTCATGCGTAATACGATGATTCACATGCGTAATACGATGAAATTCATGCATAATACGATGATTCACATGCGTAATACGATGAAATTCATGCGTAATACGATGAAAAATTAAGCATATTACGTATGTGCAAATTTATGCGTACCTTACGATGAAAAACCATCGTAATACGTATAAAAACGATCATAAGATGTTGAGTGTGTACTTATTTTGCTTCGATTGTAAGATCTAGCCCGTTGATTGCAAAACGCTTTGCACAGATCAAAAGAGCACAAAATTTGGGGTGCATTAGGCCAAGTAGACTGCCGGATACTTCCAATTCAACCGAACAGAAGGGTGGAATCATTTACATCAACATGGCGCATTCGAGTTTTTTTCCTAAATTTGATGATTTCTCGTGTTTTTCGGTGTTTTTACTGCACCTCAATATCAGGTAAGGGGGGAGTTTTGAGAAGAGCAATTAGCCTAATGCACCCTAAATTTCAAGCCCTTTCCATCTGTGCAAAGCGTTTTGAAAAACACAGTCTAGTTTTCATAATCTCGAACAAGTGCGCAACGTCTGCACTGACGGCGCGAGGATCGCTTCACGCTCTTTCAAGGCCGTTGCCACCCCCTGGCAGAGGTTGCGCACTTCTTCGAGATTATGAAAACTAGACTGTTTTTCAAAACGCTTTGCACCGATGGAAAGGGCTTGAAATTTAGGGTGTATTAGGCTAATTGTCTTTCTCAAAACTCCCACCTGACCTAATATGAAGGTGCAGTGAAAACACCAAAAAACACGAGAAATCATAAAATTTAGGAAAAAAACACGTATGTGCCATGTTGTTGTAAAGGATTCCGCCCTTATGTTCGGTTGAATTGGAAGTATCGGGCAGTCTACTAGGCCTAATGCACCCCAAATTTTGTGCTCTTATGATCTGTGCAAAGCGTTTTGCAATCAACGGCCTAGATCTTACAATCGAAGCAAAATAAGTAACCCCTGCACCTCGCTCGAGCATGGCTTCACGCGCTCCCGAGGCCGTCGCCGCCCCCTGTACAAATGCATGGGGAAATTTCCAGAGTATGCTGCATTTCAAGCGTAACGTTTTCAAGCCTAACTTTATGCTTAGCATAGAGTTACGCTTTAGTTTTACCAGTGACTACTAATCGGTGAAATTCGGTTAAAGTGACACGACTCTTTTCTTCTTTTTGAATTTACTTTTGTTCATCTCATTTTTGGTCCTAGAACTTCATACGAGCAGAAACTGTCGGTGCTTATAACGAAACCATTAATTGTGAAAACTTAACTTTTCTTCCTGCAAAGTGAAAGATGTGTCCAAGTCAAAGGTTTCATTTCACGGATTTGTTCGACCTAACTACGTTCATTTGAATGAAAAAAAGAGCCAAATGCATGACTACAGCTTTCAGGAAAGCGAATATTCAGTCATGTTGACTGATATTTCATATCATGTCATAATCCTAAGAGGAAGCACCACAGTGCTTGTGCTTATATACCTTACATCCTTCTTTGGACATATCAGAACGGGAATCATAGCCAAAACCCTTGCAGACTTTCCAAAAAAACTTTTCATGAAAAAAGTGCAAACTTCACTGCAGGGACCCCCTCGCCCCGAGTCCCCTCACAAAACTAATGCCCTTATCGTGGTGCGTATTTGAACGACAATTGACGCTGAGATGGATGTAGGCCAGCGGTTCCCAACCTTTTTCAGCCCGCGACCCCAAAACGGCTTCCAAAATTTTTTGGGACCCCAGGAACAAAATTACGCGACCCCATCTTTTTCAGAGGGGAGGGGAGGATTTTTTTCGAAAATTTTGAATTTTTACCGAATTTAGAGGGTTTGAGTGTATTTAAAATAGAGGGCCGAAATTTGTAATGAGACATTCTAGTCTTCAAATGATAGCTGCCTTGCTGTTTAATTTTGACATCCAAGCTTGGTACTGACCGACCCTCAGGAGCCAACTCGCGACCCCACGCGACCCCAGGTAGCATGGCGCGACCCCAAATGGGGTCGCGACCCCGGGGTTGGGAACCACTGATGTAGGCTCACGGCAAAAACGGTTCCTGGTTTTCCTAGGAACTCCCTGGAAATCACCTATATGTCTTCACCATAGGCTTCCTGGGAAAACCAGGTACCGTTTTCACCGTGCTACTTTCGCTACTTTTCACACCGAAATTCATTTATCATGATTAAATCATTCAAATTGACCATTAACTAGCTGCCTTAATGTGAGGGGACTTCCTCTTAGGTCAAGTTAGGAAAGGTTTAAGGGAAAGTTGTGCAGAACAAGGAAATGCAGTGTAACTTGATACTTTCTTTTCAGAACTGGCGGAGCAAAACTGTGTGACATTCTTCACAGCAGTTTGGAGAAAGTCTTCGCTAGGTGTGAGCCTTGCAAATCCTACACCACCGATCAAGTTATAATAGCAATCAGACAGTCCAACGGTCTGAAGCCCCCATTCTTCGTGTCCGAGGTAGCCTTCGAGACGTTGATCAAACCCCTGATAAAGAAGATGGAGAAGCCTGCTCTGGCTTGCGTGGATGCCGTGAAGCGAGAACTTGGCAACATGTGCCAGCTTAGCATCTCAGGGCAACTGCAACTTCGCTTCCCGGAGCTGACGCAAGCCCTGATAAAAGTCGTATTGGGAATTGTTGAGGAACGGTCCCAGAAAGCAATCCAAACCGTAAGTAAATCTGTGCATATTTTTACTGCAAATTACTCCGAGAATGTGCGTCAAAGCAAGCAGTGCAGTTTTGTTTTATTTGTTTGTTTCTTTTTAGATAAAAGACTTGGTCTCTATTGAAACTGGGCATATTACGTACTACCGAATCAATGTTCTGGAGGAAGAATTCCAAGAAGTAATGAAACAAGATAAAATAGATAGTTCCTTAATACCCTTTAAAGAGGGAGTATTGGAGGAAAAGCTTCGCTCACGCTCAAGAGGGGCAGGCAAAGAAGAAAAAGCCGACATTGACGATCAATTGAACTTGTTGACTATGTCAGAAAAGGACAAAAAACATGTCATCATTTTGGGTAAGCTTCGTTCTCACTGATCGGGCACGGCACGCATCAAAGTTCTGAATTCCTTAGCATTCTCTTGATGGTTTTAGAAACCGAAGAAACGTAGTAGTTAGTCTTCCCCTCAGGAGACTTGTCAATTGATGAAAGTCACTGCGAATTAGATGGAAAGACATAAAGTTTCGCCAAGTTTTGGTCAAACTTGAACGTCTCGCCTAAATTTAGTGACAAAAAAATTTTCGCCACAAAATGGTCAGACACACATGTCTCGCCACAAAATGACGATACTTGTGTGTCTGACCACGGTCTTTGGGCCGTGTAACTGTGGAACGCATCACGGCCGTGAGGCGGCGGTCAGACGGACGTTTTGCCATTTGGTGGCGAGACGTTTTTGACTGACCAACTTGAAGCGAGACTTTCAGGTCTGACCAAAACTTGGCGAAACTTCAAGTCTCGCCTGTGGAGTGGCGAGAGTGATGATGCACGACTGTAATTCGCGTTTTTTAAGTTCTCTCGAGAAATACACCCTCAGCCTTTTACTGACTTTTTCTCATTGGCTTACGCATTTCTGTAAGCAACCATAATACCTAGTATTTTTTGTCAGTATTACTTAGTAATTGCTAATTACTGTACTGATATTACCGTTTTCTTAGTAAATTACAAAGAAATTTTTATGTATTTAAGAACTAAATACTTAGTATTATGGTTGCTTACAGAAATACGTCTGAGAAATAGTCAGTAAACGGCTGAGAGTGTACTACTTTTTGATGCCCTTAGATCGTTAGATTTCCAGGGGGTGGGGGAAAGGCCCCAGAATGGTTTAACATCCCCACCTGTTCCCAATATAAAATACAAGGTAGGTGTACGCGAGACTGTGGCTTGTCGTGGACTTCGCGGTACTGTGCCAGTTCCGACAATCCACACATGGCGTTTACACCTACCTTGGTACATGGCGCTAGTCTGCCTTCGGCAGGCTCTTTTGCTGCACGTCGGCGCACAAAGAGACGTGATCGCAATCAAAAAGAAACATTTGGTTTTTGCATTGATGCTCAGAACCACCTTTTAAGTACCGAGTGACGGCATCTTTGGGTTGGCACCCACGGAATTCTGGTTAATCATGCCTGCCCTATTGGGATTCAAACCTGGGTCGGAGGTCCAAATGGATTCCATTTTTGGCACCTGCACCCTCGTAAACACAGGAAAACATGATACTTGAAATAATTACGCAAGTCGTTTCAAAGTTGACTTTTTTCTGCCGGTTTTTAGGGTTTTCTGTTGCTGGAATGACCAAATGGATCGAGATAGAAAGCTGCAATTTGGCATGTGGACCTAAGGACATACCCAAGGACCCTGCCCTGCATATCTCAGCCAGATTGGCTTAGCCGTTTAGGAGGAGTAGTGCTGACGGACAGACAGACAAAATTTTCCAACCCCTGCCGGGTAACAGGCTTTGCTATCGCTCAGCCAATAAAATTGTGTGCAACTTATTTTGTTTGAAATGTTGTTCAATCTCATTTGCTCGTATCAACTCCACAAGATTAGATCATTAGAATACAACCGATGTGTAAGAGTCCGGAGGTTGCCTGACCCATAATTTTTTCAGTTAACAAAGTAGCCTTTTCATTTGTTCCCAATGGTTGGACTCTGATGCATAGGTGACACTCCTGGCACCGTCATGAACTTCGATATGGAGTTAGAGATCAACGTCAACTCTCTATTTGTTTTAGGTAAGATGCTCGACCACTACTACCAAATAGTGGCAGAAACCATGCAAGACTCAACAGCCAAGGCGGTCGTAACTTTCCTCGTGAATGAAGTTCGTGAATCTCTCACCACTGAGCTGTCTGTGGCTCTCATGCAGCGAGAATTGGATGAACTGTTTCATGAGCAAGAGGATATTACCGACAAGCGGGAAGCCACTCACGCCAAACTGAATGTAAGTTTCATTTTCAGCTCTCATTTACACTGTGGCAAAAAGGTACGGAAAATTCTGTTAATTTTTTTGCCAGGATTCTCCGTAGCCCTCTTATCAATATTCTCCGTAGGCTCTTACAGTATTCTCCGTAGGACCGCACAGTCTTCTCCGTAGGGCCGGGAAGACTGTACAGCCCTACGGAGAACACTGTAAGGTCCTACAGAGAATACTGTGCGGTCCTACGGAAAATACTGTAAAAGCCTACGGAGAATACTGACAAGGGGCCTACGGAGAATTACCACAACCTGTTTACAGAATTTTCCGTAGCTTTTAGCCACAGTGTAGAACAACCGTGTATATGTTTACGGTGTAATCATCGGCAGACTTTTCTTATGAATGCAAGCATCACTGAAAATGAAAGAGTCATGATCATGACTAAAATTTTGGGCGAGGAATTCTTTATCACTCAAATTTGGGTCCCGAAGGTTTCCTCACCCAAATTTGGGTCATATTATCATATTAAATACTGGAGCCATATAGGTAGCGACTCGCGGCGCTCGCTGGGGGCTCCGCCCCCAGACCCCCGCATGTGTGGGGTGCGTGCCGAAGTATTTTAAGTAAGTCCGTGGTGACCAGAGACAAATTTTCTAAGGAAGTAGATGTACTGCCTTTGGGTGGGGAGGTTTGTCGGATTGGGGCTATATAGGTTCTTGATTGATACACCCTTCCTCATTTAATTGTGGGCGAGGAAGGCTTCCTCGCTCAAATTCAGGCGAGGAAACAAACCTCGTCCAAATTTGGGTGCTGACCTCGCCCAAAATTGGGTATTGATCATGACTTTTTCATTCTCAGTGTATAGTGATAATCCAAGTGTGGGCCATGGAGCATAGAGTTCCTTGCTTGAAAGCGTGGACCAAGCTGGTCCACGCCATAAGACCTAGATCAAAATGGTCCATCTCAATGGGCCCTCGCCCTTTACGAAACTGGCAGTAGACTTGACTGAAACAAGTCCCAATTGAGCTGTCTTTATTCCTTTCATATTTTTTTTATTCCGCTCAGGTTCTCGAGCAGTCACTTCAAGTCATTTCAGGGATCACCAGCCATCAAGGGCGCCGGAAGAGGAGTGCGGCGGGAGCGTCGCCCCCTCCCACTTTCAGCCTCAAAAGTGCCATTTTGAGTTCGAAAGAGGGATAAAATGTAGCAAAGCCGCTAATTCTTTAGAATTTGGCTTCTAGCTTGCTTCACTCGCATGTTGTCTTCATTTTATTCTAATATCTTCTTTGTTTGGCTCACTTCGCTCGCCAATCAAGCGTGAATATAATTGTACTCTAGAAATGTAAAAGTAGAAAATAATATGAATTTTCACTTTAAGCTCGCTTGATTTCAAACACTATTAAACAAATGTAAATCTTACAGCCCTCCCTCCCTTTTCCCTATCACATCAGAAAGTACTTCCAGCGGCCCTGATAGCCATTGTTAAGCCCTCAACAGGACATCGATTTTGATCTCTTGACATTTCGTTTCAGCATTTTCTAATGCAATAAACACAAGTATCAATTTAGTGATAAAACAAATCGATATTAAGGAATACACACTCGTTCTTAAGCATAGTTAGCGGCTAGGACGTAGTCATTGCGATGTGAAAAACGGTAGCTACCGATGAAAAGAAATATGGTAACAGAAACCGTCGAAAATGTCAATTGCGTGGAGATGCACAATCGAAATGAGTTAAGAAAATAGCGACTCTCGTAGTCCATTCTACTCAGAAAATTGCCCTTTTGATGGAGAAAATACAAAGGTTGGCAATTTGCATCCAATTTGCCCCCCCTTTTAACCCCTAGATAGCCGCCTAAAAAGTAGGCAAAAAGCACCACTTTTCCCCTGTAAGTAGGCAAAAGGTGCTTTAAAAAAAGGCTTAAACTTACGCCATTTTAGAGAGCCCCTTACGTTTTTGGTCTACCTCAGGCGGTACGGATTTTGTAGCATTTTAAAGTTTAAGGCTGCAGTAACCGACTTGGCTGCGGCCAAGTTCGCGAACAATGACCACCATCCTGCAGTTGTGAAAATTGAGAAGTGACCGAAATGAATTGGGCATGGCTACACTGCAAATCCAAGCGTAGACAACGGTTGCCTCACGCTTGCTCCAAGATATCAAAGTCCCACACCTCGTCGGACATTCCGTCCCACCCTTCATGCTGTGGTTCAGTGCCGTGGGCAGCCGTATTCCACGGACGAAACCGTGACCCTGGAGAGAGTACAGTTAGTGTAAAGATTTGGATTCACATACCTGCGAGCCAACCACGACGATTTTGGGCAACTCAATTTTTTCATATGAGATGGCTGAGAACAAATCTTGAACCTTGTTCAACTTCGTCAGCAAATTCTTCATCGCCATGTCTGATGTGGTCTGTAAACGCATAGAAAGTAATATAACGTTAGAAAAACACTCATCCGCGTAAGAAAAGAGCAAAAACTCCTCGGCAGAATAAGCAAAAATGAAATACACTTTAAATGTCTTACAATGAAATTTGAGCCATGTTTTTAAATTCGGCGCAAAATTTCGATATATTACACGGTCAAAATTTAAATTAAATACGTAATTACGTACTTTTGTACGGAAAATGTACACACGAAAATGGTACGGAAGTACAGAAAGAAGTACGGAACGTCCATACTTGTCCCACAAGAACTCATATAATCGGGTAGGGAAAAAAAAGTACAGAAGTTCCGTAGTATGACAGGACAGGTACGGACGGTCCAGGCAAATTATTGACCGGACATGTTCCGTACTTTTTCTGTACTTTTTTCTCGCAGTGAACGAATCTCTTTTGCCTTTTCATACACACACATAAGCACACAAAAACCCAACCTTCGTGATGCGCCATTTTCTTCGCACCCTGAGGCATTGTTTCGTAAGACATTTAGAGTGTAAGCTGTACACCTGAGGCACCAAGCTGCTGCGCGGAGCAATTGCGGGAGCCATTTCGACGCCTCCTAATAGAATAATCCTAACTGTCAGTGCTGATCCAAGACAATCACTGAAATACAGCTTCCACGTTTATATGCAAGGTTTATACTTTTTAACAAGTCCATTGCCAAGAAATTTGAAACAGCATGTTGGCGTCACAGAATTTTATAAGAAATAGCTTTTTACGTCGTACAATCTGCGCTGACAGTTAGGATTGTCTTGGATCAGCACTGACAGGTAGGATTATTCTATTAGGAGACGTCGAGGATCCAGTTGCCTCTGTTTGGCCTCGTGTTTGGCAGTTCACGTGAGAATCACACGCCTCTCCGCCAGCACTCTCATTCCAGGAACGTGACATCACGTGGAAACGAACGAGATGAAATGTCACGTTCGTTTCGTTTGAATGTGAACAAGCAAATTTGTGGTCGATTCACATCCAAACGAACGTGACACAACGCTCAATCGAACGTAACATTTTGTCACGTTCGTTTCAACGTGATGCCATGTTCCTGCAATGAGAATGAGGACAGAGGCACGACGGCGCCTGCGAACTGGAGATAGGCAAGCCCGCAACACATGCAAACGTAACGGGCGGGTCTACCAGAGGTTCGCAGGCGCTCTTTCACGTGCAGGGCAGTTTGCAGTCTTTGCCGTTCAGTGTTATCATCCCCCAAAGAATTTCGCAACCAAGGGACGAAATGGCTTTCATATACACTGTAAATTCAAGGGTGAGACAGTCTCGTGAACCACGTGTCTTATGCTTTCAAGTGGGGTACAATGATGTCTCACACTTGCAAGCGTGGGACCCGTGACATTGAACCACAGGATTGAGCCAGGTGGCAACGCTGTACACTTATTCTGACGCCATGTTCGACCCCCCCCCCCCAAAAAAAAAAAAAAAAAAAGATGGCACTTTTTAACGAGATACTCTTTCTCGGAGACTTGCATAAAGGAATCGAATGAAAGTTGAGTGCGGCATCAAGTTAAAAGGTCATATTAAAGTAACAATTAAACTGGAGCAGGAGCACGCTTACGATCAAGTCACCCCTCGAAACCGCATCGCAAAAACAGGAGAAAAATGGGGTTCGACCAAAAACGCTACAAGTATGTCTACTCATATTTTCAAAAAAAATATTTGGGGTGGGGGTCATTGAACATGGCGTCAAGACAGGTGGGGGGCGTTGCCACCCTCTGATTGAACCAAAACCATTTCTGGATCCACCACCGTCTGAGATTCTCCCTGGCTATGAAAGGGCTCGTGGGATTTCACAAATTGTCGTCAAGTCCTACCGTTGTACTGCGTCCTTCTTGGCTCCGTCCTTCTTGACGTCGTCCTGCACGGCCCGCTGATGCAGGCGAAGCGGCGCTTCTGGCCTTTCCGTGACTCGCTGCCTTCTCCTGTCCTCGAGCTCCCGGCATCGGGTTCTCCAGAAGAAGAAGAAGAAGTCCTCTGCTATATCTGAAAAAGAACAAGGGCAATTGGGGAGATGAGTATCAATACCTACACTCTCAGCACGTTACTGACTTTTTGCTTATTTTGTCAGTACTCATGCAAGTAATTTCTGCGACCATAATATGTACTTTTCCTTTTTTAAAGAACTTCTCCGGAAGTATTAAATAATATACTGACAATTTGGTTGTGTACATAAATTTACATAGGAAATTAGTTGGAAAATACTAAGTATTATTGTTACTTATACGAATACGTAATTAATGATGAAAAAGTCAGTAACGTGCTGAGAGTCTATGTTCATTGTTGCAAATGGTGCGTACAACGTAAAAATAACGCACAGCTGAAAACAAAACCAACAAACCTACAGGAATTCCTAGTAATATTTTGTCAGGAAAAAAACTGTACTTTCAAAGTACAACAATTGTTGTACAAAGTTCAATGGAACCGGACTGACGGGTGCAGTCCAGTCCAAGCCTCGTTGTACTTTGTACAATTCTGTTTATCCTCCTTTTTTAGTTTTCGTTGTACTAGTCACAATTTTTCTGGCAGTGCAGGGAAAGTGACGCCGTTCGTCAACTTTCGTCCGTCCAGAACAAACAAATCTACCATAATTTTGCCCTTCCTTTTATCCCAACGATGACGTGATTTGAACCTCGATGCACACTGTTAAAACTTCCGTCCTTAGAGTGTGCACATCAAATGTATTTGAACAATTTCGTATGTGGACTCCCACAACTTTTAACATGCACTCCTTTTGGACCAAAATTGTAAGAACAGCACATTTGCGCTTAATTGTGTTAGTGATAGGGAATTTTCTAGTTTTCTGCACCAGGAACAGTTTATATGGCATGTATGTACTAGTTCGTGCATGCTTGACAGGCATGTGCTAGCTAGAGCGTGCTTGCAGCTTGCAGGCATGCTCCAGGTAGAGCGTGGAAACACAATGTTACGTACATTTTTATACGAGACGCCACACTAAATCACCATGTAGTTTTTTTTGTGAGTAAGCTGTGCACTAAACTGTGTATGTGTTTCAAAATGCACGAATTTCATGCGCAACATGGCACATTTTCGTACTAAGTTGCGCACAAATTCGTGCATTTTGAAACGCATGCATAGTTTCGTGCACAGCTTATGCACACTGATAATCCAAACGCTAACGTCAATTGATGCAATGCAAAAGCATTGCACATGAAGTGCAATGCCTATCCATTCCCCACGCATTAGCATAGGGCGTTTTCAGGACGCATGGTACGTAAGGTGCAATATGGTTGAGGCATTGCACGTATGGTGCGATATCTCAGTGCATTGCACCATACGTTCTATATTCATAGCGTTTGGAATCTAAGTGGCAGAACAACTACGCAGTAATTTAGTGTGGTCACATTTTTTGTGCTGATGAACTCTTCGCACGACTGTCTTACGAAAAACCACGCACAGTTCTCGAGCATGCGCTCCGCGGCGTGTACTTGCACGCGCGTCAAAGTGTGTACTTAAGCACGCGCAAGTGTGTGCCCATTAAAGAACACATAAGCACGCGACTCTGCTATTCGCCGAATGTGACGTGACGTCCTGTTGGTGAGAATGTGAATTTTGTCGCGTTCGTTTCAACATGACACGGCCGTTTAATTATGATGTCACATTCGTTTCAAAGTGGATCAACATTCGAACGAACGAGACAAAATTAACATTCTTACGAATATGACGGGACATTCGTTGAATGACGGGGCAGCCGTCCGATTACGCCCGAAATCTGGTACAGTTACTAAATTTATATACTGCGTGATGGCCTACAAAGTTTTGTCTTTTGGAAAATAACTCCACTGTGGCAAAAAGCTACGGAAAATTCTGTAAACAGCTTGCGGCAATTCTCCGTAGCCCCCTTGTCAATATTCTCTGTAGGCTCTTTGCAGTATTCTCCGTAGGACCGTACTGTATTCTCCGTAGGACCGAACAGTATTCTTCGTAGGACCGTACAGTATTCTCCGTAGGACTATACAGTCTTCCAGGTCCTACGGAGAAGACTGTGCAGTCGGTCCTACGGAGAATACTGTACAGCCCTACGGAGAATACTGTAAGAGCCTACGGAGAATATTGATAAGAGGGCTACGGGGAATCCTGGCAAAAAAATTAACAGAATTTTCCGTACCTTTTTGCCACAGTGTCACGAATCAACCTCTGAACAAACTTACCGTCGGTGGAATACGGCTAGAAGAGGGCACAGCACTACTGTCGGCGTGGAATGGACACAACGGCACACTTTCCTACAATCGTCAGACAGCGGTGCGGGGTGCGGGTCGACAGCCAACAATAGAGGCCAGGCCACTGCCTTATGGAAGAATCGCTAACCACCCCGCTGGCAGGCAACAATGCTGCCAACCTATGAAACAACTCTTCCCGCAACACCGCCCGTGGCGTCGCTTTCAGTCAGGTGACGTTGTTTCGGGGAGGAATGCTCATCGTAATATGAGTTCGCTGCAAATCCGGTTGCTAAGTTCGCTTGTCACATGATTGGCAAGCCGTTCAGAATGGTTCTGAATGCCAAAATTCGGCAAAGCTTGACCTGAAATCCTGATCAGCGTGCCCAATTTCGGCGCCTTCGGCCGCCGGCAATGCTAATTTTGGCCAGCTGCGGAGTATACTGCCATGCTTGCGTATTTTTGGCATTCAAAACAGCTTGCCAATTTTGTGGTACCCTAAATGGCCATCGACTTTGCTGTGCCTCAATTAGCTCATATTGACCAAACGTGGTGAGAAAAAGAGGATCGAAAGTTTAAACTTCCCGCCCCTCACGGCGCAGGGCCACGGCGATACTCCGCTCTCCGCGCGGGGTATCGCCAGTGCAGGCCCTACCCCGCGGCGATGCGGCGCTGGAGACCGGGCGTAGTTCACGGAGCTGCCGCAGAGCGCCTGTGATCGGCATTTCCAGCGGGAAAACTTGAATGCCATTAGAGTCGTGGACACATCACGTTCGTGTCTTGTAACTGAGTCGGAGTCGCATTTGTTCAGACGCGGGTAAGGAGGAAGTGGCTCTATGTTTTCGTTTTTGCTATGTAAAAACAATTCTGTACTTTTGTACGGAAAATATACAGAAGAATGGAGTGCGGAAGCACATACTCTGCAAACTCAATAAGTGTGTACCTACAGTCACACTGTTCTAAAGTGTGTGCCTGCAGGCACACTGTTTTAAACTGTGTGCTTGCCAGGCACACACTTTTAGAGTGTCTATTTCAACGACAAACCTGAAAATAAGGTACATCTTTTATAGTTAAATATTGAATCAAGAGGTTCATTTCGTGGGGAAGTTTAGTGGTCATCGGACAGAACAACCTATTTTCAATGGGTTTCCCATGTGACTTACGCCCTTATGCCCGAAGGCCACTGAGTTCAAGCCATTTCACAAAACTTATTGGTGTCCGAACGGTCCTTGCAGGTGTCCAGTCGGCCAAGTCCAGGAGCACGATAAAAACGGTTCCTGGTTTTCCCAGGAACTCCATGAAAATCGCCTATACCTTCACCATTGGCCTCCTGGAAAAACCAGGTTCCGTTTTTATCGTGAGACGACTTGGATCGGCCAACCGTGGACCGCGTTGGCACCGCAGGTGTCTTCTCCCCTTCTTGTCCGTGAAAAGCGCACTCCCCTCGGAGCGGATTTTGGCGGGAAACAGTGGACTTTGTTGGGGGAGGGGGTGGGGGCGATTGTCAAGGAGTTGGCGAATGAGCGAATCGGCTCGGCCCTTAGGCAAGGCCTTCTCGGCCCTGCGCCTTTCTCTGCCTCGTCCTTCGTCCTGCGTCCTTCGGGCCTCGGGCTAATTGGATTTCTAAAGGAGTGACTCAGGGACGCGATGCGGTCGGCCTGGCCTCGGCCTAGCGGGGCCAGCCTGCCTGGTGCCTCCAAGAGAGCCTCCAAGTGCCCCGTCGAGTAGAGTCTCCCTTCTGGGCGGAGTGACTGGATCCGTGTCTGCGGCCGCGCGGTGACGCCCGCCCAGCAAGCGTGGATCCAGAAGGGAGGCCACAGCGGGCCAGAAGGCCGGTGGAGGCGGTCAGAATCTCGGACAGGTTTTGAGCTCCAGAGTCGCTGAATTGGACTCAAACCGAACACTGAAAATAGAAAGGTCAGACTTCTGACCACCATCATTTGTCTGTGGCCATTTTTTTCGGTCATACTACTTGTATCACCGAAAATTGTTGGTCAGATATGTCTCACCCTTTGAATTGCAGGGATCGTGTGACCTCAACCAATGATGACGAGGACTGCCTGCCGCCCGGGTGTCTCTTTCTCGTCTGCAGCCGGGGGGGGGGGGGGGGGGGGGCAGGGCAGAGTCGTCGTCGCGCGTGGCGGCCAAGAGGAAGGTTCTTGCAACTTAGGAAAACTCAATTTGAGTTGGTTGCTGCAGGGACAGTGTCCCAGGGATACCCCGAAGGAACCCCCGAAACGGACACCTTGCGGCGCGCATCCACGGCGCATCCAGGACATCCCACAGTGGGCCAGAAGACCGGCGCAGGCGGCCAAAACTCTAGACGCGTTTTGAGCTCTAGAGTTGCTAAACAGGACTCAAAGCAAGCGTCTGGCCCTACGAATGGATTCCTCGTTCACAGAGCAAGCCATCGGTGGGGTCACGCGTTCGTTTTGAGCCCCACTCGGCGACTTAGGAGCTCGAAACCAGGCCGGGATTTTCACCACCTCCACCGGTCTTCTCTTCTGGGCCGCTGAGCGCCTGCGGTCGGCTGCATAGGCAACCCATCGCACTTCTCTGGTGCTCGAACTCGGGGCTCTTGACAGTTGGACCACGACGCTGAATGCAGTGAATGTCCACCCCTCGAAAACACGCTCTGTTCGTATTTTAGTCGGCCTTCGACCGTCGTAGAACCCTGGCCGTCCTCGATAGCGCCGAACTCTTCGTCGCTCCCCTGGGCCCGCCCGACCACCCGGCTGCTTCCGAACGGAGCTACCCGTCTCTCTCACACTGGCGGGGCGTCTGGCGCGTGTGCGAGGGAGACAAAGTGCTGTTGGGAACAGGCCCGCCTCGGCGCGGCTCGGCGCCTCCCTTTGAATGGCGCGCCCCGGCAGCAGCGCCGAGCGGCGCGCGCGCTTTTGAGCAATCAAACAAGGTGTCCTCCCTCGCACCCCTCGCCTCCCCTGCCCCTTTTGTTGCAGGTGGGCCGGCGCAGCGTCGGCCAGGCACGGCCAGCCAGGCACGGCCGACAAAGAAGTGCTTAGAAGTCGACTTGTGTAGGTGTTTCGAATAATGGGGGTCATTATCGGCAAGGGAGGAAAGCGGAAAGGCGAGGCGCGAAAAAAGGTGTGCGGATGCGCGGCACTGCGCCCCTCGCTGCGCCCCGCCAGGCCTGCGGACTGATTCCAAGTCGTCCTCTGTCTCTCTCGCACTTATACGGGGCGCCTCGTGAGTGCGAGAGAGACAGAGCGATGAATGTGACTCTCGGAATGAGCCCGCCGGAGGCCTTGCCGACGCCGACCTACCCCGCGAGGCACGCTGCAACGCTGCACCCGCTGCAGTGCCGAGAGTTGCCGCGTTTTGTGTTCCGCTTTTCATCAGCAGCGGCGCGAAGCGAGTCCACCGCCTCTTGCTCTGCTTCCTCACCCTCCTCTGCCTCTCCTTCTCTTCCTCCTCCTCGCGGTCCTCCTTTGCCCTCCTCTTCCTCGTCATCCTCTCCTCCTCCCCGTCCTCCTCCTCCCCGTCCTCCTCCTCCCCGTCCTCCTCCTCCCCGTCCTCCTCCTCCCTCTCCTCATCCCCGTCCTCCTCCTCCTCTCCTCCTCCCGTCCTCCTCTTCCCTCCTCCTCCCCGTCCTCCTCCTCCCCGTCCTCCTCCTCCTCTTATTCTCCCCCTTTCCCTAGGAACTGTCCTCTACTCCTCCTTCCCCTCCACCACCTCCTTCTCCTTGATCACAGACTGTGCCACTGCCATATCACTAAATTGTCAATAGTTCGCAAGGGAGTTTGTAATACAATGCCGGAGAATGCTTTGTACTGCAAAGTACTTTTCTTTGCAAGCTTTTCTGAGTGTGCACACGTAACCTATTGACAATTTAGTGATGAATTCGAGGCAATATTTCCGTAGTGTGCTTGCAAAATTGTTTCTAAGTTTGGTACAAATTTGTACACGACTTCTGCACAGATACGTTCGAGCAGAAAGTCCGTGAACATTTAATGTGCACCCGTTTCACGTGCGACACTGGCTGTCTAGCCCTAGGAAACAGAAAAAAGGTCACGTTGACGTCAGGTGCACTGCATGTCAAAGTGTGGGACAGGCAAGAACTAGATAGCAGTTTGTCCAACGTTATCCAGTGCATGCTTGTCCCACTCTTGGATTTGCAGTTTTCTTGAAATTGCTGTCTTGGCACTGCAAGCGTCCGTCTGCCCGACACTGCGCTACAGGTTGAGGTCGGATACCCGCCGCTCAGTGCCTTACCGAGGCCCGGCGAGACTAAACGAAGGCTTCGGGGCACTGACTTGTGTTCAAATAGTGACGGGCGTGGGGTCGGAAGGGGCAGTGTACTCTCGCCTTAATCCGGCGCAGACGATCGCACGTGGCAGCTACCTCGCGCTACACTGTACTCTTCCCCAAGAAGCATCCCCGAAGGGGGAACAACTCCCCACATTCATTGTACAAAATTTGAACACATTCCACATTCATCTGGCAAAAAACCGTCGAAAACGCCTGAAACTAGGCAACATGTGTGGCAAACACACCAGAAATCTTGCACATTCTCACACATTCTCACAATCATTGTACCCAGAGTTTTACAGTGGTTCCCCCCTCGAGCATCCCTCTCAATAGCATCCCCCTCCTTTCTCTCTCTCTCTCTCAGTAGATCTGTGGACCCGGCACTCGTGGAAAACTTGGACTCGTCTTGCCTAGATACGCGTTTGCACAGCACGCTGCGCTGCTGAGGCGGCGGCGTGGCGGCCCCGCGTCGCAGCGCGGCGTGCGGCGTCACAGTCTTCGTCTCCGAGACGCCCGGCAGACACTCAGCCGCCTCGTGGCGACCACGCGGCACGGCGCCCCAAACGCCCACACACCCACCCTGTAGACAGATTCCGAGAGTCGTTTTCGTCGCTCTGTCTCTATCTCACCTATTCGGGACGGCCCATGAGTGCGAGAGAGACAGAGTTACGAAAACGACTCGGCGTCTGCAGCCCACTTCTTGAGGTAGCCGCGCGCCGCAGCGTCGCGAGGCTCACAGCGGGCTGACTCCGAACGGCGCTTTCGTCGCTCTCTCTCTCTCTCTCTCTCTCCCTCTCTCTCTCTCTCTCTCGCAGCGTCCTGCTGGCGTGCGTGAGAGACAGAGCGAC